CTGCCCGCCTGCTGTAGCACCAGCGCCGCCTCCTGTGCTAGATCCTCTTTGCTCCTCGACGCGATGCTCTCCTTGTGGACCGGGGTGGCGATCAACCTGCCTTCGCCATCTCCTACGAGTGCCGCGGTAACGCGGGGTGCTCCACGTCCTGGAACAGGAAAATAGGGGGTGATTCCTATGAGGAATTTAATTAATTTAATTTAATTTTGTTTAATTTTAATTGGGAAAGATTCGGCGAATTTACTGGTGAAAAATCAGCAGGTGATTTAGGATTAACACATTGGCGTCGGGACGTTTGGAGCCGCGTTTGACATGGATATATTTCGCGTCTCTTTTTTCAATCGTACCTTTTAAGTAATTAATATTTTTCGAAGAAATTTTTAGGAAAGTGAAAAATTACTTTTTCCTAAAATGTATACAATTATTTTAATTCGTGAAACATCTGTCGTGGCGTTTCTGAAGAGAAACTGAACCATTTGTAGCATTTTATAAATTTATTTTCAGACAGATGTGTGAAAATCTCAATGACGTATTTCCGCGTCATCCGGGCACAAGTCAAAAATATATGCGTCATCCGACGTTAATGTGTTCACATGTTCATTGTTCGAAGTGAAACGTAGTTTATTAATGGTAGTTAGAATTGTAAGAATTCTTGTAACTGGAAAGATTGTAAGACTGCAACATATTAATCAATTTATTAGTACCTATTAAATGAATTGCATTTTTATTTCATAATGTCCTTAGGTTTAAGTAACTCCCGGAATTTCGTTCTTTACATGATAGTTTTAGCTTGTACCTCTTTATCTACCAAAATATGTTAATAAGTATTTTCTCATTTATTCACAATGTTCTTTATTACAACAAGCTCAATTTAACCAGTTTCCAAAGAAGAAGTCACGGATTTAACTTGTTTCGTACCTCCTATCTAAAGAAATATATTTATTTTCAAAAATTTATCACAATTTCGAATAAGTAAAAAGAAGATGAGCAAATACTTATGAGTGATATTTTAAACACACACGCTGGCAGTCGAATATTTTATTTACTTTATTCCAGCGCTTTGCATTAAGTAATTTTATTCTACTAATTTCCAGAGAAGAAATAACGAATTTTATTTATTTAGTGACTATTTATGTACTTCTTTCGTATTATTCCTCTAATCTACGAAAGAAGCTTCCCGATAGAGCCATCAAATTATTAATATCCGAATATTAAGTTGTAAGTTCTCGCGACTAGTATCAGCAAAGCTTAATCCCCCGGACATTATGACGTTAAGGGGAAAGTTTGCCGCGCAGATTATTAAAAGCAGAGAATAACGGATTAATGGTTAAGCAACGCGGAGAAACTAATGCGCTCCGCCATAGTTCTCCACTGTTAATTCGCTCTCGTATTAACCTTCGCGGTAAATCGTTCAGGCATTAGCTGTCATTTTTACCGCGACGCGCCAGTAATTTCCGACTCCGACATCATCCTAATTGCCGCACGATTACGCTCGCGCGAACGTTCAAACGAACTAATTATCATTCGTTCAATCTGACACGTTCTATCTCCTAGCTAACCCAATACATTCTCCAAATTTCAAACCGAGTTTCATTTCAACCTGGATTCAATTATCTCTTCCTTTTCAATTCAATCACCTTTCCTTTCTTCAAATCAATTATCAAACCGAATGATCCTCTGAATTATCGAACTGAATTGCAAACCGCGCGATTCAATCTTTCCACACAGAAAATAATGTGTAACGAAAAATTTGGGCAGAACTAAAAAAATTCCATTAGTAGACACGTTTAACCCATTTGCATCCTAGAGCGGAATAATCCGCACATGACGATCGTATAGGATTTCGAAACTTAAAAATTTCTTAATAATTTTGAATTAATGCACGTAATTTCGGAGTAGTAATAAACAAAAACACAAGAAATAGTGGGCCGACTGCCAACTGAACGTCTCAGATCAATAACTCTAGTAGCCTATTCAGAGCTGTGATGCAAATGGGTTTGTGGCGGGTACGTCGTCGTCAACAAACTTCTTCCACGCGAACTTGCTCTTTTCCAACTCCTTCAGATTTTAGCTTCCGTTCTTTTGTCTCTCCCCGGGTTAAGACTTGCCCTCCTCCTCGAGTGGCCTAAGAAGCGCACATGTGGCATCCAGGTTCGCACGAGGACGAACGAATTTTCCGTTTCCACCACTTTCTCCACTTTTATCTTTATCTATCGCTACTCCTGTCTCCCTGTCCTAACAATATAAAAACCCAGTACGCCTACACCTCCAGGCACTTTGTTCCTTTACCGACCATCGCGACGTACCCGCCGAACCGCTGCCACCGGGACAATTAGCAAAGTAAACGATTGTATTTTCTGGACCAATTGTACGCCGACCATACACTTATACTTTAATAAATTGAGATGAAAACAGTGTAACGACGTTCCTCACCCACCTCAGGTTAATAGCAGAAAAATAGAAAATAGCGACAGTGTTGAATTCTCCAAATTTTCTATACAGTTTTCGCTCTAAGGAACATATTTTTCGCGATCATTATAGATTCATATCACACGAAAAAATATTCCCAACAAAGTCGAAACGAGGATTTAAAGATTACAGCGATATTTCTTCGGTGTTCCTTCCGCTTCGAGACAAAGAAAAAATTGAACAGAATAGTACACGAATTCATAGCTGCTTAACGAAGGATCCACGGATCGCAGAATTTTAATTGGACAGCTGCGACCGTCCGAAAACGACGTCCATCAGTAATCAAGTGGACTCTATCGTGGATAATGGATTATTCCACGACCGGTTAGGCGCATTACTGGATTTGCAAATTAGCGATTTATGTTAAGCAGACCTGCCTGGTCGTTAGCGGTTAATCACCAAGTTTAATCAGGTGCTAGTAGCTAGTAGAGTCTAGTAACTAGACCAAGGGAGTAGGGGAGGAATCTCTCTCGTCATCTTTATAATTCACCAGCGATAAGAAACGCAGTTCATCCCCTTCTCTCTTTCTCTCTATACAGGGTGGGCCAGGACATGTGGTACAGGTGATTCCATATGCAAAGGTGAGTCGAAAATACGGAGTGAAATTTGTTCGTATTGTTACACCCTCAAATATTTTCCTTCTTAGTCCTTAGTTTTATCTGTATTTACAACGAGCCACCCACCATTACTCATACTGGACTCTTCACCTTCCAACTCCCCTGCATAGTCATATCCCAAAGTCTTAAATAGTAAAATCTGTATTCGACGAAGAATTTCGCGAAGAAAGGAGAAAATGTGGGTTTCCTTGGAACATGTGTAAATAAGAGTGACAAATTAAGAAAAGCACTAATCTTTCTGGTTTCACCTCTCAAACAAAAATGAAATCTCTTCGGTTTATAATTGAAAATGAGTAAAAACGATCACCAATTACCACATCTCGTTTCCTACAAATGTGAATCTGCGGCATTTTATGGTTCAACACAGTGCGATTGTTAGGGCTTGCGGTTCATCTTTCGATCGTTCAAGCTTTGCCGGTTTTTGCACGTGTGTGCCGACTAATGTTCTAAGGCTACGAAGGACCAGTTTCTTGATTGAAACGCTAAGTTTTTATTTTATGTTCTATTTTCTACAACTAATTCAAGACATAAATTCTACTGCGAAGTGAGAGGTGTTTCACTTGCGAGTGGCCAAGTGATTCTCCCGAGTGGCCAAGCGATTCTCTCGAGTGGCCAAGTGTTTCTTGCGAGTGGCCAAGTGTTTCTCCTGCGAGTAGCCAAGTGTTTCTTTTTGGAGTCTCTGCGGTTTCCCTCGAAGAAGACTCCTATTTTCCTAAAAACACCCTGATTGGTGATAGCCAAGTGTTTCTTTTTGGAGTCTCTGCGGTTTCCCTCGTAGAAGACTCCTATTTTCCTAAAAACACCCTGATTGGTGATTTTTCCTTGTCTAAATCACCAATCAGTTTACTCCGGTGCATCGCAACCTCCCTCCATTTCGCCCTTAGCGCGTTATCTTAGGGTGGGGTAGACAACGACCGGAAAAAGTGTTCGGTGGACGGATGCGTGGGAATCCTGTGGAATCTCCGCTTTTCTAGGCTTCGTTAAAGTCAAGTGGCCCATCGACGTGGGCAAAAGTCGTGGGCCACTTTTCTATTTTCCGTTCGGAGACTCCAGGATTTATGGCAGGGTCTGGTCCTAGGGACTAAGCGTCGCAGGCAACGCAGTAAACACTTGTGGTGTTTTGAGAAAGCGATATTTGCCTGCGACGGCGACCACTTGACTCGCTGCCATAAATCCGGCTGCAGGACACGTCTTAACAGCGATTAATAATTAACAATCTCTCGATATATAAATTATTGCATTCCAAGTATCGGTAAAATAATAACAAATTTACCTCGTCTTTCCTATTTAATAGATTAATAGTACTTGACTAACAGAATCGCGTTCAAGAGATCAGAAGACCACCTTAATTGCTATTCAATGTAATCGAACGTAATCGACACTGTCGTATAGCTGTAAATCCCGTGGAATGATCGGTTGCTAATGTTGGCTCGATAATCGAGCTGCTTCGTGGAAAGTGAAATTACCTTGCCAGACGCGTTTTTTCCCGGATAACCCAGCAGGATAGACAGAGTCTTTGTGGCTTTATACGACGGCTTCAGGAGCCATTCTAAATATACTTGGTGGTAATTTGACATTCTCGTCTTCGTTATTTGTTCTTTCCTTTTCTTTTCCATCGGAGGCATACGATAACAACGTTTGTTTTATATTTGATGAAGTGGTACTTCGAGAGGGTTGTTTGCATGGGTTAAGAGGGGGGAAAATTGTTGGTGAGTTGCAAGGCTTTCGTACTACGTTCGTTAACTTTTTGCTTTTGTTACGTTGGTTTAATCAATGCTGCGATACTTTCGACGTGTCATTTTTCGAATGATATATCCAATATATTCAATGCACGCTAATTCATGGTCAGATTATAATAAAATATCACGTTATAAATGGTACATTCGTGTATTGAATTTTTTGGGTCAAAAAAGACCCAGTTAGACCGTACACTACCGGCCAAAAGTTCGGAATCACCTCCCAATTTTCATCAGTACTGGAGCTGTTACTTAAGAGATACCCGTGTAACTCGTGAGATACTCGGGTAAATAGAAATTATCCGGGTATCTCATGAGACGAGACA